GTCACCGCATGAAGCAGCTAAGACACAAGAGCAGGGTGCGGACTGTCAAGAGCCAACACAGCTGAGCGGGCGAAGGGGAGGCCCGCAGTCGGCCCCACGCCCGTGGCCCGGGCACGCTGGCGCACGACCGGACCGGCGGCAGGGTTGGCCCCCCGCGGCGGCGGCCTCCTCGCAGCGCGCCGAGCAGGATCCGGGACGGAGCACGGAGGGCGCCGCGTGCCTGCCTGGCGGAGCTCAGCCTCTGCGCCACAGCAGCGCCGGGTTCTTCAACCGCGCCTTCCACAGAACGCGACTAAAACAGTGGTAGCCGCCCGCCGCCCTGTGAAGGGCACCGAGACCGCAGGGTCGGCTGCTCCCCCGGGCCCGCGGGGTGGCCGCCAGGCTGCTGCGAGCCCGGTCGCGGCCCCTCTGCGGCCCCACGCCTGGCAGGGCACCCGCGCGCTGCGGCGGCAGAAGCACATTTTGGAGCCAAACCCATGGTTTGAACCGGGTCCCCTGCCTCGAGGGGCCCTGCCGCCCTCGGCTCTCCGCCGGCACCCACAGGTCTACACTCGCGCACCGCGGTCGCGGCATCTGGAGGGCACGGGCAGACGCGGCCTCCCACCACCCGGGGAGGCCGCGGTGGGAGCGCCGAAGTGCAAGCTGAACACGGGTAGTTTAACAACTTAGCCAGACGGTCTCAAAAAAACAGAGAAACGGGGGCTGCAGCTCGGTGTGTGGGCCCTGGGCTCAGTCCCCAGGGCTGCCAGAAAACAACAGAAAGTGATCTCTGACCCAGTGCTGTCCTTGTCCTGGCTGCCAGCAGAGAGGCCCGTGCAAGAGGCAGATGGCTGGCACCAGAGGCCCGCCCTGTAAGGCTGGGAAGGGTGACCACAGGCGCCCTCCCGCACCCAGCCCCATGGGGACCCCAGCACGGCCAGGAACCCTCCTGCTCCGCCAACCACCGCCTCCGTGGGCCACCTGGCCTCATCCTTGTCAGTCAGGGCTGGAGAGCAGTGGACCCCTCCGAGCCAGTGGGGCACCTCGCACTTCTGCCTGATTGTGCCCTGCCCCGATCACCTGGTTCTCGGGGGCGGAGACCACGCCTGGGCGCTCACACTTCTGAGGTGCCTCCAGGCCCTGCTACCCCACCTTCTCCGCTCCCCACTGCTTCATCCTGCGAGTGAGGGTGGGTGGTTCTACTAAGGGGGCGATGACAGCACCGTGGGCAGCAGGGCTGGCATGTGCCTGGGGTACAGAGGTCACACGCGCCCCATGTGGTTATAGTCACCCAACTGTAGCAAGGAGAAATCAGGACCACGTGTTATTTTAAAAAGTAAAGTGTGTTTTGTTTTGTTTTTAAGTTAGTTTTTTGGCTTTTTGTTGTTGTTGTTGTTGTTGTGTTTTGGTCACAGATACAGAACTCAGGACCTTGTGCCTGCCAGGCAGGCACTTATACCACTGAGCTATCTTCCTGGTGCCTAGTTTTTTTGTGGTTTTGTTTTGTTTTGTTTTGTTGTATTTTAGGGAAGGGTCTACAGGGTGTTCAGGGTCTCACTACTAGATCGGACTTGTAGTGATCCACCTGTTTACAGCCTCCCAAAAGCTGGGATTACAGGCACGCGTCACCACACCTAGTCTCAATTGCCGTCTCAGCTCACAGCTCACCCTGGGGACGGGCCAGCACAGCAGGCCCAGGGATTGAGTTGCAGGCCCCTGCACCTGCTTGCAGGCGCTTTAATCCACTGAGCTATTTGGCCAGCCCTTTTGTTTTTGTTTTTAAAGAAGGGAGCCAGACAAAAAAAAAAGAAGAAGAAGAAGAAGAAGGGAGCCAGGCCTGGTGGCACAAACCTGTAATCACAGCACTTGGGAGGCTGAGGCAGGAGGGTCACTAAATTCAAGGCCAGCCTGGTCTACAAAGTGAGCTCAAGGTCAGGCTGACTAACACAGCTATATGTCTTGAAAAGACAAAAAAAGAAAAAGGAAGAAACACCAATAATTGCAGCCCATCCTGCTGACCTTGCCTGCCTGGCCTCCAGGCTACAGGAGGAAACCCGTGTCCAGAAGCCCAAGGGGTTGGGGGCTCCTGCAGGTGGGAGTGTGGAGGGGATGGGGAGGCAGCCCCACTTCCTGACCATTTCCCTTCTCTCTGTAGTTGCTTCCTGCCTCAGCTGGTCCAACATGGAAGACGCAGGTAAGGAAGGGCCCATGAGGGAGGTGGGCTGTCGTGATTAGGGCATTTGATATTGTATTTATTTCGGGGGTGCTAGACAGGAGCCTAGAGATTGTGCTTGCTAATCACACCCGTACCCCTGAGCTACAGCCCAGCCCCTACCATTTTAGGCAAGGAACTTGGGCATTGTGGATTTTGGTAGCTGCGGGAACCCTAGAACCAGCCCCCCAGTACTGAGGGGACACTAGATTTTTCTCCCCAGGGTTTTCTAAGATGACATAGCTGCTTTCTAAACTACAGTGCCCTCCTGGGTGCTTCCTCGAGAGACAGACGCACGGGTCACAGAGAGCAGTTCCCAGCAGGCCAGCGAGCTGCACCCCGCGTACACCAAGTCCCACACAGAGAGGGCAGGCACTGTGTGCACCATACAGACTGAGGGAAGTGAGAGGAAGGCCCATTGCTGTGCCTGGAGAGTAGGCTGAGCCAGTCTCCTGCGATAGAGCTGCCCCACCTCCCCCCGGCGCAGCTGTCCTTGGGATGAATGGCCCCAGGGACTTGCTGGGCAAGCTTATTCTGACCTGCATTGTGGGGCTGGCTTCGTGTCATGCACTTCCGTCAAATCCCACCTGAAGGGGGCCTGTAGAGAGGCGGCGTGACCAAGAGTAGACTGTGCCTCTAGAGAGCTAATTTCAAAGGTTAAGAAAAGGCGTCCCTCTGTCCCGGGACCACCAAAGGGACCTCCAGGATGGTGATGCACCTGGCAGCAGGTGCCCAGGGCTTCTGGCCCTAGTGTGGAGGGCTCCCTCCAGCTCCGCACCCCCGAAGGCACAGAGCCGGTGAGGCGCTAGGGAGGGCGCCCTGCTCCCCCACCGCCTGGCTGCTCCCCATTACCCTCCGATCCCCAGGCTTCAAGGTGAAGCTCAAGGACTCCAGCTTGCCATGCCAGGGCCAGCTGCTGGTCTACACACAGAACTCCTGGAACACGGTGTGTGCACAGAGCTGGGGCCTGGAGGACGGCTCCCCCCCGGACTTCAGTCCTGCTGCCTACCTCTGCCGCCAGCTGCGCTGTGGGGACATCTGCAGACTCTCTGCCTTGAGTATACCCCTGCCCCAGTTCCACCAGCTCACCTGCCACGGAACCCCAGGGTCCTTCTCCAACTGCAGCAGCAGCAGCATCCCAAGCTGGTGCCAGCCGCTGGGCCTGGTCTGCCTCGGTGGGTCGTGGCCCCCTGTGGTTGGAGTGGTCAGGGCCCATTCTCCCACCGCCAGATGCATCCCTGCCCAGGGCACTGGCAGCTGCCTGGTAGTACAGAAAAGCAAGAGCCAGCTCTGCTCCCTCCAGCTTCCCCACCCCCAGAACCCCCTTTCCCACCTGTATGACTCAGGGTGACCACGGTGAGAGGCAGCATGGGGCTCAGAGGGCCGATGTGGTGGAAGGTGGAGCTCATCCCGGCCTCCTCATCCCCGCCGCCCACCCCTCCCCCATTGCAGAGCCCCCGAGGACCCTACCACCACCCACGAAACCCCCACCGCCCACCACGCCGGCGCCCACAGGTGGGAGACGGAGGCGGCAGGGAGGGAGGTGTGGGTCCCCTGAGTGGAGGTTCAGCCACTTAGCCAGGTGCCCCTGTTCTAGCTCCACCCAGGCTGTGGCTGACGCCTGTGTCCCAGAGCCTGCAGTGCGCAGGCACTGTCGAGTTCTACAGCGGCCACCTGGGTGGTGCCATCAGCTACCAGGCCCCAAGCGACAATGAGGATGAAGGGGATGCGCTCCGGGGCCTGGGCACCCTTGTCTGCAGAAGCCTGGGCTGTGGCTCCTTCCTGAGGGGGCTGCCGGGGCCCGGAGCCCCAGTGCGGGTGCAGTGGACCGTGCGCAACGCAAGCTGCTTGGCCCTGCCGCAGTGCTTCCAGCGGGCGCCACGCGGGGCTACCAGCCAGGCCCTGGCCCTCCTCTGCTCGGGTGAGTGGGAGACCAGGCGGGGCCCAAGAGGCCTTGTGGGCCTGTGGACACAGAAGACAGCTTAGGGGCTCCCAGGGCGGCACTGTCAAGGGGAACAGGCAATCTGCCCCAGAGACGAGGAGTGGGGTCTGACACAGCTACGGGGTGGTCTGAGCCAGCAGAGCACCAGCTGGCAAGTGACAGGCCTGGGAGCAGGAGCCTGTGGAGCCTGAGGCCACCCTGGGGTTGGCCGGAGACCCAGAGGAGACCGTGGGGAAAGCAAGGCAGACAGCGGTATGGTGGGTCCAAGTGAGTCCAGACCTTTGCAACCACTCCATGGGGCAGGCCGCTCCAGCTGTCACTGTCCACACATCCCTCAGGGGAAGAGGGGTGCGAGAGGACCCCTCAGCTCTGGCCCCCGGGAGGGCTAGCAGAGAGAGCCAGCACCTAGCTCTAGGCACCTAGCTCCCACCCTCCCATCCCTCTATCCAATCTGCCTGTGAGGGCTCAGTGCATCCCGGGAGGACCCAGGACACCTGGCCCTGCCGCCTGCTGAGCTGTGGCCACACTGGCCTGGCCTGGAAAGAACCTCTGCCCAAGACTCCAGGGTGCTGGAGATGGTGTTACTGTGGGGTCAGGCCAGACCAGGGATTGCAGGTGCTCCGAACTGAGTGCAGCGAGGAGGCCTGGCCCTTGGGACGGGGCCTAGGGCGGCAGCATCCTGACCTCTCAGCCTGGGAGCAGTCTGCCCCACCCCGGGCCTCAGTTTCCCCTCTACGGAGTCTGCCTCTTCCTGTGAGGCAGCAGACAAGAAGGTGCTTCCAAGAGGCCGGCCGCGGCCCCAGGTGCCGCCTCAGGCACTGTCCCTCGGGCTCTCTGCCTGCCCGTCCCTCGGGGCTGCGGAGGCTGAGCAGGGCAGGGCAGGTGTGCGGGGAGCCAGCGCCTAGCTCTAGGCCACATGGGGCGAGCGCCCCCTGCCTACACCTCCCGTTGCTCCCAGGTTTCCAGCCCAAGGTACAGAGCCGCCTGGTGGGGGGCGGCAGCGCGTGCCAGGGCACTGCGGAGGTGCGCCAAGGAGGCCCGGGGACGCGCTGGGCGGCCCTGTGCCACGGCCCCGGGGGCGCGGCGCGGTGGGAGGAGCTGTGCCGGGAGCAGCAGTGCGGCAGCGCGGTGGCCTTCCGCGTGCTGGACGCTGGCGCGGGCCCCCGCGGGCTCCTCTGCCCGGAGAAGCTGCTGTCCCAGTGCCACGAGCTGGAGGAGAGGACGCCCTGCAGGAGGGTGCACGTCACCTGTGAGTGCCACTGCCTGGGCCCCGGAAGGACACCGAGGGCCGGGACGGCTGGTGCGAGGGACGGGCGGGTCGCGCACGGACGACAAAAGGCAGCTGGACGGGCGGCCGCGGGGCTGAGGCGTCTGCCCCCAGGCCAGGCTGACCCAAGCCCTCCCTGCCAGGCCAGGATCCCCACCCGCCAGGCCTGGCCGCGGGCACCGTGGCGAGTGTGGTCCTGGCCCTGGTGCTCCTGGCTGTACTGCTCGTGGTGTGCGGCCCCCTGGCCTACAGGAAGCTGATGAAGAGAGGTGGGTGCCGGCGCCCAAGCCCCCACAGCTTGCTCCTGGGGTCGCACTCTCTGCCTCCTCTGCGCCCGGGAGACTGAGGCGGCCTGCGCCGGGGAGGGGGGGGGCAGAGTGGCCCCAACCGCGTGACCCCGCCCCCTCAGCAGGCCGCAGGCCCTGTCTCTGAGTCTCAGTGTCCCTGTGCACCGAGTGGGGCGGCACCCCCTGCAAGGGCATGGGTTGCTCAGACACAGGAGGCGGCACCTGGGCGTGGGGCACAGGGCGTGAGGCTGCCAGGCCTCTCCATCCTGCAGGCCAGCCTCTCCCCACCCACCTCCAGCAGACAGGAAGCTGGGCCAGGCGTCCAGCCACGGCCCCTCACCTCCTCTTTCTTCCTGACCCAGTCCGCCAGAAGAAGCAGCGGCAGTGGATTGGCCCAACGGGGATGAGCCAGAGCAGTGAGTGTCTGGGAGCCCCACGCTCCAGCCGGCAAGGGGCCCCTGGCCACAGACGTGTGCACACTGGGGCTGAGGTTTCCGCGTGGGCAGAGGCTGAGCACTGTGGGCCTGACTCCCACACCAGAGTTACATCTCTCACCTCCTCTCTGTGGTGACCCCACCAGGGGGCCTACCAGCCTGCCCTCCCTGGAGCATCCCCAGCACTACAGAGCCCATGTGACCTCCGAGGAGGTGCTGCCCAAGAGGGCCAGCATAGGGGGACCCCCCCCCGCAGCCCCAGCCCCACCCCAGGCCCACCTGCACTCCTAGCTAGCCTGCATGGCCAGCTACCTCGGGAGAGGGATGACCTCCCACTGCTGGGCCCTGCTCCCTGCCGGCTTCACACGTGGGTCAGACTCACTGACCCAGGCACTTGCTGGCCATCTCACCTGCCTGCATTCGCCTCCTGGGGTAGAGGGGGTGGCAAGGGTCACCCTGCTCCCCCCATGGTGGAACAGGAAAGGGAGCTGAGGGGCCAGGGCCGCACTCCAACCACACTGTCCCCCACATGTGCGCAGTGTCCTTCCACCGCAGCCACACAGCCACTGTGCGGTCCCAGGCTGAGAACCGCCCAGCGTCGCACGTGGACAATGAGTACAGCCAGCCGCCCCGGAACTCACGCCTGTCCGCCTACCCAGGTAAGCAGCAGGGCTGGTCAGGGGCATGGCCTTGGAGCACAGCTGGGGGAAGAAGGTGACCTACGAAGGCCCCCACCCCCTCCAGGGGGCAGGCCCTTCCCAGCCCAGCTGCTCAAGGCCCAAGCCACTCAGCGGAGAGCCCCGCTGCTGGCCCATGCCAGCTGGAATGGGCCTGCTTCCTGCAGGGCTGGGGGGCTGGATCGTGACGGAGGCCCCCGGCCCCTCCATGGCGCTGCCGATGCAGCACCAGGAGCACAGAGCACAGCCTCCTCAGCGTCTGTGGCTGACCTCATCGCCAGCTCCTACAGCCTGTCATCTACTGATCTGCTGGGCTGGGCTCCATGGGTCTCTGTGGACATCTCCTCTCTCCCACCCAGCCCTGGAAGGGGCCCTGCGCCTCTCTGCCGCCCAGCTTGACAACTCCTCGGACAGTGACTACGACCTGCACACTGCTCAGAGGCTGTAGAGGTGAGTGTGCCTGCCCGTGGCTCCCTGCTCAGCGCTGCCTGCCCCACCTTGCTTCCTGTGCAGGCAACACATGCATGCCGGTGACTGCAGTGCCAGGACCCACTGGGTACCACAGCATAGCCACCAATCTTAAAACCTTCCTGGAAGGCTGCCCAGAAAGACTCCTTGGGGTGGGGTACAGCGCAGGGCGAGGTGCACACATAGCGTGGTGAGACCCTGGGCCCAGCCCTGCACAGCAGCCAAGGATGCCCTCTGGGCAGACCTGCTGGAGCAGCTCGGCGCTACTGGGAGGCACTGTGGGGAACTTTCCACCTAGGAGGTATCACCCAAGTAAACAAGCTCAGAGAGCAAGCGGGACAGCGAAACCTTGGGAGAAATCCACAGGCTCAGTGTCCGAGACCCTGTGCTCACAGCCCCACCAGGACTCGCCCGGGGACACACGCCGTGGCAGGGGAAGACAAAATCGAGCCGCTCTCATCTGCTCAAACACTGCTTTTGAAAAGACAATTCAGGGCTCAAGAGCCCGCATGGACAGTCTCAGGGCTAGGTGCTCCCAAGCGTCTCGCGCAGAGCTGCACATGTGAGAGCCGAGCCTGCTGTGGGCTTTGCTCACCACGAGCCTGGTGTCCGGGGTGCTGCCTGGCACATCGCATGCAGCCATGGAAGGTGCTGAGCAAGAGAAGAACACATCACCGCACCCCCTGGAGCTGCGCAGCCCAGCAGGGAGAAGGCCACCCTGGGGGCGGGGGCGCAGCCATCCTGAGTCTGAACCTTGAGAACGGCCTGTGGTCACTGCCACCCTTAACCCTCCAGAAATGGACACCGGGCTCAGGAAACTGGCCGGACCTGCATTCCCGCCCAGACAGACATGCGGTCCCAGTCTACACTAGCCCACCAGGACAAGGCAGGAACCTGAGCCGCGGGGACCGGGCAAGGGCAGCCACCCAGCCTGGCCAGGGCCCTCCATGTGGCCACCGTGAGTGAGGCCCTGCACCAGAGACTCAGGATGCCCAGAGGAGCCCTTTTCCCACCCCAACTGCCCTGCCTTGGGGCCTTGGGCTTCCCCTCGGACTCCGCCCCTTATACGCAGTGAAGGAGCCCCCTGGGGTTCTCTGGTACGCACTGAACTTGTTCGTTGATGTAAATAAGGCTTTTCCTACTTCCAAGGGCGTGGGTATTCTGAGCTCTCCTGCCAGGCCCGCCCCACTGTCACAGGACCTGCCCTTCTGGAGCAACAGCCCACAGTTCAGAGCCAGCCCTGGCAGCACAAGGAGGACCTGGAGTATTGGTGAACATACCAGGAAACACCAGCCCAACAGGCCAGGCTGTGACAGCCTAGGAACCACAGCAGGCCACTATCCTGCAGCCTCCCAGTCTGGGCCCCAGGCAGGGACTAGTGGCTGCTGTCGGGGAGACCCCAGGACTCGGGACCCTCCCTAAGTGACAGCTCTGTGACACCTGCCCACCACACTCTGGCCTCAAAGCCACCAGTTACTTTTTTAAAAAAAATCCAAACAGGAAGTGCTGTCAAGGCAAAGTCTTGAGAAATGTTAAGTGATGGGCAAGGTTCAGTGAGACCCTTGGGGCTACCCAGCGCCCTGGGGCTCTCCTGTCATCAAGGGTCCCTGCCAGGTTCCAGCCCCAGCCACAGACCTGCCACAGGCCTCCTAGCCAGTGCTGTCCTCCACTAAGAACGCCCTAGGGTGATGTGGTCCATCTCACACCCCACCATCTACCCAGTGACCATCGGTCCTTGGGGGCCGTGTGTGAGCGAGCAGTCCTGTCAGATAAGCCCAGGGCCCTCGCATGCACCCAAAGGACACTCTGGGACCTCTGGCCAGCTTAGCCATGTATCTACACTGGGGTCTCCCGGCTGAGCTGGACATGGGACACTGCTGACCTCAAGGGACACAGGGAGGCCCCTGAGGAGCGCCTGTGCCCAGGGATGCCACCACCTCAAGCTGCAGGGCCAGTGGGGAACCTCAGCCTCTCCTCGACACCTGGCATGGCACCAACACAAGGACAGGACTTCAAGTGACACCTGTAGCTCTGTTCGCATAGCCAGGGTGATGGCAGGAAAGAGGACAGAGTGGGGACCACAGGGCCTGGCATAGCCTGCTGACCTCAGGCCCCTCCCTCATTCAGAGTAGGGTGTGCTAGGAAGGCGATGCCCTGTGGTTGCAGGGCTGGCTGCAACCTGGTCACCCTTGGGATCAGAAGGCACAGGCCGGCTCGAGGGACTCAGATGCACCATTGGGATCCGCTAGCAGGCCCTCAGGATGGAGGCAGCGCCCCACCCCCACCCCAAGCCAGGTCAGCCAGCCAGCAGGTGTCAGGAGCAGGGCCTCTCGAGCGCCCCCTCATAGGAGCCTGTAGCTTTGCAGACACCTCAGCTCTGGACCAGAGGTCCAAGAGCAGGTAGGAGAACACTGGCTGGCAGTAAGTGGCCACAGTGGGGATATGGGGGGGGGGACCCAGAAGGAGGATGCAGATGGGGACACCCAGGGGGCTCTACGAAGCAAGCTCCCCAGGCCAGGGGGATGGGCAGGGCAGCCCACAGAGGCAGCAGGACACTGGTATAACTTGTCCACGTTTATTGTGACAATTCACAACACAGCTGGCCATGCCAGTCCGGGCTCCAGGGACTCCACAGCAGCAGCACAGGAGGAGGTGTGCCAAGGCGCAGCATGGCCTGCACTGCGCACGCCGCCACCTCCCAGCCAGGCATCTTCTGTCCCTGCAGCCGGCGCTCACCGAGGTGAAGGGCCAGTAGGGAAGTTCAAGGCACTATGACTCCTAATCTGCACAGCTGCAGCCCCGGGGTCCCCCCGCGACCTGTCACCCAACTGCCACACTCAGCCCACTCTACTGCACCCTGGTCCAGGGCCCACTTGGGCCAGAGCATGTGTCCGCTGCTGTGAAGTTCTGAAGAGGGGCTGTGGAGTGGCACTCAGGATGTCTTTGGACGTTGTCCCCGGAGTGGGGGTTACACGGGGCAGTTGGGTGGAGGGGTTGCTTGAGTGAGGACCAAGGCACCAAAGGCTGGGGGCTTCAGGCAGGCCCCCATGCCCCATACTCCACCAGGACCTCCTGGACTCCAGCCACCCCTCTGTCCAGCCAGAGCGCAGGTGACCAATGCTGGGCCTCCGCAGGACACTCTGGCACAGGGCACAGGCCCAACCACAGCCTCGCAGGTCACGTTATGGCTTTACAGGGCAGCTGCCGCGCTCCCCTCGCTGCCCTAACCATGCTGGGCTATGGGGCTCGGTCCTGGGGCTCTATCCCCGCTGTGGGGTGGGCGGGGCCATCTCATCCATGTCCACATGTCCCTGGGAGCAGACACAGGCCAGCGCACACAGATGCCGAGCGCCCCTCAGCCAGTCCCTGAAAGGGTAGCCTGGGCTGCTGGCTGGGCCACAGCATGTGGTCACACCACCAAAGCCGCTCCTGCCCCCCTCGGTCTCTGAGGGAGGGAGGGCAAGGTCTCAGTGCCTGGGAGGAGCACAGCCCACCTAGTACCCAGGCCAGGCTGGGCCTGAGGGTGGGGGAAATCCATAGGGAGGTGCGGGTCTGGGTGGGTACGGGGGCTGCACAGGGAAGCTGGGGAGAGAGGGCTGTGTGGGGTAAGGGGGCTTCCCTGCCATGGGGGGAAATGGGGACTGCTGAGGATAGCCAGGATTGGGGGCCCGGCCCCCCACCAAGGGGTACCCAGGGCCTGAGGTGCTGGTCACCGGTGTGGGGTAGCCTGGCCGAGGTGGTGCACCCCTGGAGGGGGACCAGGCATAGCCTGCAGCCACCCCGTGCCGGGGTCCTGGCATCCCGTAGGCCGAGGGCTGGGCTATCAGCGGGAAGGGGGCAGGTGGAAGGGCACCCTGGGCAGTGGGGCCGGAAGGCAGGCCAGGCATGGGGCTGTAGGGCAAGGGGTAGGGAGGTGTGACCGATGGCGGTGGCTGCGGCTGAGGCGGTGGCTCCTCAGGCACAGGGGGTGCAGCCTGGGCGGCAGGGCGTGGTGGTGGCGGTGGCGGTGGCCGGGGCGGAGGGGTGTCCCCTGCTGGCCTCCTCACCACATCCTGCAGCTTCTCTACCCGCACACGGCGAAGGTGTGACAGCGTCCGCATGGCAGCGAAGTCCTCCAGGAACTGCTCCAGTGGCACCTCACCCTCCAGGAACTTCTCGGCCATGGCCTGCAGGAAATGTGGCGGTGACCCTGGGCACAGGGACAGCCTGCCGGGTCTCCCTGGACCCCTGGGGCCATCGAGGCACCATCTCTGGAGTCAGCGCCTTCAGGTGGCCATCAGGCTCTGGTGCAAGTACAACCACTGCCACTGCCAGCAAGAAGCAGATGGAGAGAAGCCCCTGCCTGGGACTGATGGGTGCAGGGGCACGACAGGGCAGGGACAGGTGGGTCTGGGCCCGCTCGGGCACCTGAGAGCGGCCAACACGGCACCTCCCACCCAAGGTCCACCCAATCCAAAAATATGAAGTGGAAAATTCTAGAAAGGAATGGCTCAGAGGTTTGCAGTAGCTTTCTTGGCAGTGCCTTGTCGTCGCTGTTCTACTTCATGACTGTTGGGGATCTACTACTACACCTCAGTTACAAACCAAACGCCATCGCAGCTGTGTGTCCAGGGAGACACTGCACACCAGGAAGTCCCTGTGGACAAGGGACATGGCTGCACAGTGCCCAGTGCAACTCATGCGGGACCCCGGGTGCCACGTGCCACACCCAACTCACCTCGGACTCCTCCTCGATCTTCATGCCTTCGATCTGCAGGAGGTCCAGCAAGGTCCCTGGCTGCAGCGCAGAGGAAAACTTCTCTGAAAGGGAGAGGGGTGGGCACACGGTCCACAGAGCGCCTGCATGGTCAGGACTACAGCCCACGGGCCAAGGCAGGTCCAGCCGGGCCCAGGCCCCCCACACCCCTGCAGGTGTGCCAGGGAAGTCACTGTCCCAGGCAGAAACAAGCATGGCAGCCAGGTCAGAATGGAGTGAGCAGGAAGGAGGGCGGCCTGGGTCCTCCTCGGCCAGCAGCATCTCCTCCGGCAGTTCCTGGGCCAGAGCCCCGCGCAGCGCAGGACACAGCCTCTAGCTCCTCTCTGCACCAGCCCCACACCCTCTGCAACTCTCACGGGTGACATGAGGAGTCCCAGTGCCCGTCCGTACCCGCTGCTCACCAAGCCCGTGGTGCCAGGCCTGCCTGGTGGGCAGTGCGCTGTGTGCATCCCACCGCCCCGCACCTACCCAGCCTGGCCTTCTGCTCCTGGCACCGCTCCACCAGCCTGCGCAGCTCCTGGTACTTGTCAGAGAGGTTGGAGCGGCTGATCTCCAGGGGCCCCTGGAACTCCAGGTTCCGCTCGGCCAGGCTCCGGTTGGTGGCCAGGGCCATTTCTCGCTCCAGCTGCAGGTCCTGGACCTGGAAGGGGAGGGCAGCTGATGACGGAGACAGCCCCTCCTACGCCGCGGTGAGGGATCAGGCCACACTCATGTCAGGCGGACAACTCAGAGCCACAGGGGGGAACGGGGACCCAGCGGTGCTGAGGTGGCACATGGGGGACAGTGGCACTGTGGTGATGGGTGCTAGGCCCTAGGTGGAAGGGCTCCAGAGAGGACCAACCGGCACAAAAGCTGGGGGTCTCAAGCACCGGACACCCCAGGCTTCAGAGTCAAGCCCACCATGTTGTGTGGGGATTACTGGGTGTCTATGCGCTCATGGCGCCGGGCATCCCGCACACTGGCCCAAGACCTGGTGCTGCTAGATGGGGCCTGAGTGGCCTCTGCCAGGACCCCTCGCCACTGGCAGCACTGTACCCAGCTTTCCGACTGTCTAGATGGTGGTGGTACAATGCCCACATGCCAAGGCTCCAGGAAAGTCAGGCAGACCCAAGCTGGTGAGGCCCACGGCTGACGGCACCTCGGGTCAGGAAAGGCCGTGGCCGTGGAAGGATGGGAAGGTCCTCTATTAAACGTGAAGCTGCATGCGACAGAAGGCAAGATTCTGTGCCAGGCGTGTAGGCACAGATCAGAAGGTGCTGTGCTCCTGCTGTTCCAGAGCCTGAGTCCCCCACAGATGCAGGGCCACATGGGGCCAAGCCTGGCACGAACCCAGCCGTGCCAGAGTCGGGCTGGACCCAAGTTGCAACCTTGGGGGCCTATGGATACCAGGAGCCCAGGGTTCCAAGCCCACGAGGGTCCCAGGGTACCACCACTGCCTCGGCTTCCGGGGCACCCAGGAACTGGCATTAACCCTCAGGGACGACTCTGGCTGGGCCTGGCAGAGGGCAAAAGCCAAGAGAAAGGGGGTCCAGTCAGGGTCCAGGCCAGGTCTCACCCACCTCGGGGGACTCCAGGGCCAGCCGGCCAATGGCCTCCACGTCGCTCTGCATATCCTCCAGCTCCTGCACGCTCTTGTCTTTCAGCATCTCCATGCTGCCCTGCAAACACAGAGCACAGGGCAGTGAGGAGGGGCAGCAGGGGCAGCCTGGCCCACAGGGATGGCCCAGAGCGTGGTCAGGCCTCCCCTGTAGCCCTGAAGCCCCCCACCACATATCACGAGGGCCCCACCACCCATGCCCAGGCCAGCAGCTCTTGACAGCCCTGGGCCAGCAGCAGGAGCCTGCAGGTTCCCACGGGTGGGTGGCACTCCCCAGAGCACAGACAGAAAATGGGGACAGGGACCCGACTCAGCTCAGGGTCACTGGCAAATGCACTGCTGTCCTGTCCTCCAGGAGGCAGCTATTCCTGTCTTAGCCAGAAATACCCAGGCTCTGCAGGCTGCGGCCCAGCAGCCCCAACTGCATCCCGCTCGCTATATTTAGTGCCCTGGTAACCTCTAGTTCTCCCAGCACTCTGTGACAGTGGCCCTCCCCAGGGTCACAAACGTGAGCTGTCACAGCTGTATCCAAGTTGAGTACAAAAAAGAAACCCCCAAATCGGCCTCACAGGCAGTCGGCAGGAAAGCAGCCACCAATCTGAAGAGGACCGAGCTGACAAAGGCTCTGCCTGGCCCTCAGTAGTGTGGCAGGCAGGTCACAGCCAGTGGGCGGGGGGGCAGGGACAGGCGCAGTGGCACACACCCAGCACCATTTTTAGGGTGCTTACCGTGCCTCCACGCAGGTGTCACGGTGCAGGTGCCAGCCTGCCCCCTCGCTGCCAGTTCCCCAACAGGCCAGCACCACCTGTCACCTGGTGATGAATCAGTCTCTGGAGGAATCTGGGAACCAGGCAGGAGCTCTGTTCAGTCTTTCCAAAGCCCAGGCCCAGAGGAGAAACTGAGGCATTGAGTGGCCACGCTCACCCTACAGAAGCCCCAGGACGGACAGAGCGCCCTTCTCCAGGCTTGACTTCCACCTCTCCCTGGGCTCCAGCAGTGACAGCTGAGCTGGCCCACGGGGCCCGGCGTCCCTGGGCAGGAGGCGCCATCTCTCCCTCCTGCCCAAGCCAAAGCCGGCAGACCAAGGCGGGGCATCAGGAGGGCAGGTGGATGGCCACTCCATGCCTCAGTTTCTCCTCTGGGCCTGGGCTTTGGAAAGACTGAACAGAGCTCCTGCCTGGTTCCCAGATTCCTCCAGAGACTGATTCATCACCAGGTGACAGAACCCTCTGTAGATTTGGTCAGAGAAACCTTTCAGGTTCATCAGAATCGCTCCTGTGCAACAGGCAGCCGCGTGAGGGCCCTGGTGAGGCGCCTGGCAGGAGAGCTCTGGCTTGCGAGCCCTGGGCCCTCCTCGGCCTGGGCTCCTGCTCGCCAGCCCTGCACCTTGACCACCCAGATGGCTTCTAATCCACAAGCAGAGTCACTCCTCCCCTAGCAAGGGTCACGAAGAGGATGGATGCCCAGAGCCTGCGGGGACCACTCGGGTCACTGCCCTGAAGGCGCCCAACTATCACCTGGCAGCAGCAGGGCGGGTGCCAATCCCGCCTGCACAGAGCTCCAGCAGCTGCCTGGGACCCCACAGGAGCCCTGGAGGGCCATCTGCCAGCAGGGGGCCCAACAGTGGCGTGAGCTGTGAGCCCACTTCCACCCTGTGCTGACCATCAGGACCCTGGGCCCCCATCTGCAACACGCCTCCGGCGATCAAAGCGCTCCCAGCCTGCTCTGAAGCCTTCTGGCTCTGGAGCCCAGTACTCTACTTATTTTGTGCAAAACCATATGTTCCTTAGCTGGGCACACACAAGCCAGCTAACCCTGACCCCTCTGCAGCAGCTCTCTGCCTTCACCCATGGATGCTGCTACGCTATGTTCTTCTCAGGATGGACAGCGTCCTCAGTCACCTGGCAAACAGATCCGCAAGGGTCAGGGAGTCAGGGATTCTGCCCCCAGGAGCCCTTGGCACATGCTGCCTGCTGCCTGCCCCCGGAGGTCAGCATCTCCACGAAACCTCCTGGCTCCTCCGCCTGGAACACACAAGGCCCTGTGGTCCTCTGCAGACCCAGGGGCAGTGTGTCCCCACCAGTCGCCCTCCTGTGCATCCACACACCGGCCACAAGCATCCAACAGACCAGAGCTTCCGGCTCCACCACTAAGAACAAGCAGGGACCAGACCCAGCGCCCGCCTCAAACAGCCACAGCAAAGCAATGAAAGCGCATCTGCATCCTGGCCCAGAGGGGAAGCAAAGGAAGCGGACCTCCAGCTAGGCTTGGGGGCCAAAGAATGGCAGGGGTGCAGGAGGCCAAGGGCAGAGAGGTGAGTGAGACAGCTACCCCCCAGAACCTGCCATGGGACCCCTTGTCCCTTGGGCCCTGAACTGGGCAGGATCGAGTCCTACCAGCCTCAGCAGTGGGGAACAGGGAGCCAGGCCCAGGCTGCTCTGATACCGCAGCCACTACCCAGAGCGGCTTCTGCAGGCTCCGGGCTGTCCAGGTCACTCAGCAGTGTCCCAGACACTGCCAAAGATGCTTATTCCATACCCAGAAACCAGCAAGGCGAAAACCCACAGCATGAGACAGTCAGCTAGAAACCAAGACACACAGAGAAGCGAGAAGCATCACCAGTAAGGAAGAGCACGACCAATAAAAGCAAACTCAGAAATCTAACAGAGGAGAGAGCCCCAAGCAAGCCCCCCGGAGCAGTTCCTCCGACCTGTGGTGCACGTTCAAGCTAGAGGGCTGAGCATGGCACGGAGACTTGAAGGCCTAAATCAAACTTCTAAAGGCCAAAGTACAGTGCTGCAATTAAAGAAGTGCACCGGGCAGGAAGAGCGACAGACGCGAGCTGCGGGTCAGGAGCTGACAACCTCGAGGTGGAAGTCATCACGGTCCCAGAGGGGGAGGCAAAGGCGCTGATGCACCAGCAGGGGAAACACAGCGGAGCCAAAGGAGCGCCACGGTCCCAAGTCAGAAAGGCAGAGAGAAAAGAGTGCGGATCGGCCCGACAGCAGACAGCAAGCTGGCATGGCGCACGGAAACGGACCAGTCTGCACACCGCAATTCTATGTTACTTATTTGTATTTTTAAAAAATCTTTATTATTCATCATTTATTTGACAAATGCAGCTTGGACTCAGTGATCCTCCTGTCTCAGCCTCCCCAGTTCTGGGATTTCAGGCATGCGCCACCAAGCCTGGTTTCTATGGCCGGCGCAGCTTGGTGAGCCAGCACTGCATGCGGTACTAGGGATTGAACCCGGGTCCTTGCGCTTGCCTAGGCAGGTGCTCAGATCGCTATTTCCACAGCCCCACACTGCACATGTAACAGAGCTGGTTTTACTGGTTAAAAAACAAAACCAAAAAAAAAACACTTTATTTAAAAAAATTCACAAACAAAATAGGAAAGTAACAATGGTTAATATAGTAACTACTGTCATCTTGAAATTAGTTACTCAGTACAAGATATAGGCATTTGATTGTAAGGTGGATTTTTAAAAAGCAGCACCCACCTGCGGGCTGTGCACAAGAAGCCCCCCTGGCACAGAAGCACCCAACACCGCAGCAACAGAAAGGTCTAAAAGCGCTCGCACCATGTCCGGCTCTTCTCTCACTTGGGACAGGTCCTCTGGCCCACTTTGGGGGCAGCTCCTGTCCCCACTGCTTTCTCTCTACCCTCCACCCATCACACATTAACTCCGCCCCCAGCCCACCCGGCCACCCCCATTTTACTATGTGCCCACCAGGTGACCACTGGCGACCCATAAATGACCCCAAGGTCAGCTGCATGTTCCACCTGGCAGACGCTGGGGTTCCATTCTTCTCAAGGTTGGGTGACCCCACGTGAGGACCACACTTCTGCTGCTCACGCGTTAATACACACGCGCTGCTGCTACTGCTGGGCCACGGTAAATGAGGCTGCGGTGAAGTGCGGGGGCGGTATCCCCCACCCAGTTCCCGCTCCCTTCTTCAGGGTACACGCTGGGCAGTGCAGCGGCTGGCTCCTATGGTGATGCTGTTTAATTTTCTGAGAAATCAGCAGACTATCTGCTGACAGCTGCTGCACCGTTTCACATTCCTACCAAAAACGCATCAAGGTTTCCATTTGTCCACATCCTCAGTAACCTTCATTATTTCCTGCTTTTAAAAATAATAATTGGGGCTGGTGAGATGGCTCAGAGGTCTAAAGCACCTACTTAGAACAAGCTTAGCAAAGCACAGGGACCGTGGTTCAATCCCCCAGCACCACATGCCAGCCAGCCCTGCCCCCTGGTGGGCTGAGCTGGCCACACACACACACACACACACACACACACATAAATAAATAAAAATTTTAAAAAAATAAAATAAAAATAATCATCATCTTCTTCCGGGTGTGGTGGCACTCGCCTGCAGTCCCAGCCCTCAGGAAGCTGAGACAGGATAGCTCGAGTTCAAGGCAGCCTGGGCTACGCAGTGAGTTCAAGGCCAGCGTGTACTGCACAGTGAAAACTTGCCTCGAAAGCAATCAACAAAAAGCTGCAGCCCTGACCAGCCCACCCACACACACACACACACCTATAATCCCAGCCCTGGGGAGGCTGAAGCAGAACTGTGAGTTCCAGACCAGCCTAGGCTACAAAGTGAGCTCAAGGCTATCCTGAACTGGGTATAGACACCCTGTCTCAAAAAGACCAAAAAAAAGGACAGATTTGCCTGGCAGGCACAAGGTCCTGAGTTCAATCCCTAAAAGGACAAACGACAGCGGGAAGCTTCTCTGCCCCTCTGGAGAACTGAGGACAGGAAGTCAGTGTGGGTGCAGGAGCTGTGAACAGCACTGCCAACCAACCGGACTTGCCTGGAATACAGCCGGGCCTGTGAGGGTGGCAGGGACATCCGGTCCTCGCAAGGACCCGCAGGGGACTACCAGCACTGGGCCACCCCTCGGGCTCAGATCTGGCAGGACCACCCAGATCTTACAGAGCATGCACAGTGCAGCGGCAGGGGCCAGAGGGACGCCATGGTGCTGACACTGCTCCTTTCCAGCCTGTAATCCGGCTAGCGTGGGATAAGCCAGCAGCAGGATTAAAAGTGCATGCACCGCCAGGCCACCTCACTGGAGCTAGGTCAACAGCCACCTCCTACCCACCCTAAGCCCCAGGGGCTCCCCTGCCAGCCCCAAGAGAATCAAGACAAACCTGTCTGACACTCACTCAAGGCTTCCATACAACTACTGGCAGCAGACGAAGAGGAGAGGGGCCCTTGCCAAGGAAACGCCTTAAAGTCAGCAAAACCCAAGGGGACTGCAGTTTCAGAGACCTCTCTGCCACCTGCCACCCAGAAGCAGCTAGACCCTCCTGAAAATTCCAGGTCCTGGAG